GGGACAGACACGCACGGTTACAGGGATGCCTACAGAGGGGTCTCGGGACAGGCATGTCACGAGGACGCCCAGAGATAGGATCTCCAGCTCTGTAGACCACGGGCCATAGTGTCAATGGAAGGGTAATGGTGTGTCCCACTGGGACAGCTGAGGCCAAGGGTTCCTCTTGTTCTCATGGGGGCAACCAAGGCCCCAAGGATGGGGCTGCTCAGGCCATGGTAAGTACAGAGCCAGGGCCCAGCTGGGACCACCCTGCACGGGTGACTGTGTGGCCCAAGCCCTCCCCTCCCTCCCCGCCTGCAGGTTAGCACATCGAGCAGTAAAAGGGATGGCATTTTGTGCAAAAGAACCAAAACCAACGTGGACGTAACTCACCTGGCAAAGACATCAAAATCCCAACGTTCAATTTAAGATGGTCACCGTCCGCGCTGACACGCTAGCTCCACACCAGAATCGGCTCCCCTGAACGCCCAGCTCCGCCCTGGGACGGCCCCCTGCCCGAGCGGGTGGATGACTCAAGAGCAGTAGCTCACCTTCATGAGCTCCTCCAAGCACGAGAGGTAGATCTTGAAGATGGCAGCCGCTGACGGGGGCCCGATGTACTGCTTGATGTCAGCCCTGTCCACAAAGGCCACGTCGATGCGCTCCGTGATGTTGGACGTGGTCAGGATCACCACATTGGAGTGCCTGCAGGACAGCCTGCACGCTGAGGGGAGGGCAGGGCACCTCTGCAGGGCCCCCGCCCAGAAGGAACCCAGAGGAAGAGCCAGGCACCCAGGAAGGAGGCAAAGAGGGTGGAGGCAGGGGAGGCAGTGAGAGAGCTGCAGGGAAGGGTCCCGGGGCTCTGACCAGCTCTCATGAGGAGGCAGGGCCGGGTGGAAGCCAGGCTATAGGAGACAGAGGGGCGGGTGGGAGGGCGGACGGACAAGGAGTGTGTCCACATGGGCACACTGCATGTCTGAACAACGGGCAAGAGCAGACTGGCCCCTCCTCAGCTGACATCTCTGCTGTAAAGCACCGACAACAGCCCAGTAACTCCTCATTAGCCCCATCCGGTCTGCTCCCTTATACCTCCACAGGCGGCTGCTCAGGCTCTGAACCCACAGGTCCCAGAGCCCTGAGAGCGCCAGCAGAGAGTCACAAAGATTCTGGCCAGCAGGGGGGTGTGGAGACACTGAGAGCAGCAGATGGGGGCTGGGGGGGTGGTGTAAATCACTTCCTTGTGAGTCTGGTTAATAGGAGTCAGCCCCTAACCCTGACCCACTTTGGGGACAATGACACACAGGATGGGCCTCAAGCCAGCGGGGGGAGCAGGTGGCTGTCACCACCAGTGCCATCCTTGACCACGACAAACACCAGTGTGTGTCAACACTAATACTTCAACATGCTACTGCTTTACACTTCATTTCATGTTTCACCGCGTAAAATTGTATAACATTTTTACCAAGTCTAAGTTCTGTTTTTGGGGCCCTGGTGGTGGAGAAGTTAAACGCATGGCTGTTAACCAAAAGGTCAGTAGTTCGAATCTACTAGCCGCTCCTTGAAAACCCTATGGGACAGTTCTATTCTGTCCTATAGGGTCGCTATGAGTTGGGATTGACTCGATGGCAACGGGTTTGGTTCTTTCTTGGTTGGGGGGTAAGTTCTCTTTTACATTTTTAAATTTTAATAAAGTAGTAAAAAAATTTAATTTCTGTTGTGGGTTGAATTATGTCCCCCCAAAATATACACTGAAGTCCTAACTCCGGCACCTGTAAACTATAGTGTCCTAACTCCCACACCTGTACACTACAGCATCCTGACTCCTGAGCCTGTGCACTACGGCGTCCTGACTCTGCGCCCATGAACTACGGCGTCCTGACTCCGCGCCCGTGAACTACGGCGTCCTGACTCCGCGCCCGTGAACTACGGCGTCCTGACTCCCGCACCTGTGAAGTACGGTGTCCTGACTCCCGTGCCTGTGAAGTACGGCGTCCTGACTTCCGCGCCTGTGAACAATGGCATCCTGACTCCCGCACCTGTACACTATGGCATCCTGACTTCCACCCATGTGAACTATGGCATCCTGACTCCCACACCCATGAGCTACAGCGTCCTGACTCCTGCGCCTGTATACTACAGCGTCCTGACTCCTGCGCCTGTACACCACGGCGCCGACTCCTGCACCCGCACACTATGGCGTCCTGACTCCTGAGCCTGTATACTACGGCGTCCTGACTCCTGAGCCTGTATACTACGGTGTTCTGACTCCTGCACCCGTGAGCTATGGAGTCCTGACTCCCGCGCCTGTGAAGTATGGTGTCCTGACTCCCACGCCTGTGAACTATGGCGTCCTGACTCCCGCGCCTGTACGCTACGGTGTCCTGACTCCCGCACCTGTACGCTACGGCGTCCTGACTCCCACACCCGTACACTACGGTGTCCTGACTCCCGCACCTGTGAACTATGGTGTCCTGACTCCCGTGCCTGTACACTATGGCGTCCTGACTCCCACACCCGTACACTACGGCGTCCTGACTCCCGCACCTGTGAACTATGGTGTCCTGACTCCCGCGCCTGTACACTATGGCGTCCTGACTTTCACCCCTGTGAACTACGGCATCCTGACTCCTGCACCCATGAGCTAAGGCATCCTGACTCCTGTGCCTGTACACTACGGTGTCCTGACTCCTGCGCCTGTACATCACGGCGCCGACTCCTGCACCCGTACATCATGGTGCTGACTCCTGCACCCGTACACTACGGCATCCTGACTCCTGAGCCTGTATACTATGGTGTCCTGACTCCTGCACCCGTGAGCTACGGCGTCCTGACTCCTGCACCCATGAGCTACGGCGTCCTGACTCCCGCGCCTGTACGCTACGGTGTCCTGACTCCCGCACCCGTACACTACGGCATCCTGACTCCCGCACCTGTGAACTATGGTGTCCTGACTCCCGTGCCTGTACACTATGGCGTCCTGACTCCCACACCCGTACACTACGGTGTCCTGACTCCCACACCTGTGAACTACAGTGACCTGACTCCCACACCTGTGAACTACGGCGACTTGACTCCCGCACCTGTACACTACGCTGTCCTGACTCCCGCACCTGTATACTATGGCGTCCTGACTCCC